TTGTAAGAAAGTGGTTGTGTGCGTATTGTTTACACAGATACTACCAAAGGGATTAGTCATCTATTTTCATCATCAAGAAAATTCTCCAGACTGCAGTTGTGACAGTTTTAAACAAAACCCATCACCCCAGCTCCAAACTGTATTTGCATATGTATATATGCAGCCTGCTACAAAAAAAGAAGGTGCTATTAGCACACTGAGCCCTTATGCTTCTCTCTACTATAAGGGACAGAAGCAGTGAGAAGAGATTGGGAGAAAAAAATGGAAAACAAAAGCAATGAAGAAATGGATCAGAGGAGCTAAACACCCAACTGCTGTGGGCATTCTCCTTACCCTATGGCATGTTTCAGCTCCCGGGATGTTTCTCTAGGATCCCACTGGGCATATCAGATATAAAGGCATGTAGGAACACTGCTCAGCATTCAAAATCAGACAGGAGTTAATGCTCCTAAGACCTGCACTAGCTCCTACACAAATCTCCCCTGCACTTTACACACCAGGTCAGCTGGTGAAGCAAAAATGCCCAAGGGCTAAACTCATATCTTCCTTGTCTCTTTCTCTCTCTCTTTATGGGACTGTGAACCTCAGTGGACCAGTCCTTGCACACTGACCTTTGGCTGCTGCTGGAGATATTCTATCCCTTTTACAGAGCATTTTCATGCCTTTGCTCTTGAAGGTTTAATCTCTCTGGCAATGAAGACTTGGCATCCATTAAGAAATTATATAGGCCAATTATTTTCCCCTTATTTTAAGGCATCTGCCTTTTGTTTATCTGTTTCTAAGAAATTATTACAAAGACAAATTACTTTTTTCCCCATTTTCTAAATTAAGTGAACTCAGTGGAGATTTTTCTTTCCAAAAAAAAAGAAAACTAGGTCAAATTTTTCAATGTGGCACAGACCCAGGCTTACTCCAGGAACGGAGAAGACTGCAGCATCACCCAGTGAAATACAGAGGTTTTCAGACTGTGTGAAACAAACATCTATGTAGCTGCATGGCCTGCCCATTTGCCTCAGAGCTGCATTTCCTCTCTTTGAGTCCACTAGTTTGGGCCTTCTGTCCACCCAGTGATGTTCTGACTAACCATGAGCCCAGACCGACTCTGAGAAAAGTCAGGAGAAATAGCTGCTTTTTCTACCTCACAAGTACAGGGAAAGAAAACCTTTCCTGCAGTACAAACACGTAACATGTTCAAATCATGACACTGCTTTGGAAGGTGAGTGCAGAGTCTGCATGGCCATCAGAAGGAAAAATGAAGGTCTGGCTATGGCCAGAATAGATTTTCTTGTCAGTTATGTAGAATATAAGGTACAATGAGCTATGCTCACATTTAAAAGTCATCAAGCCTAACAATTCTATTTCAGTGTCTTTCTAGAAGAGGAGCTACAGGAGCTCAGGAGATCTTCCAAGGGTTAAAGGATTTTTTTGTTCCAAAAAGAGGAATGGAGGTAAGTCTTTAAAAGGCATAGAAATTATCACTCAAGGCTTGAGTTGTGCAGCCATTTTTTGTGGTTTCAGTACTTGTTAGCAAAAATGTTAGAATGCAGGGGAGAACTGACACCAAATTGTGGGTGGAAAGCTAGAAATCAAGATGCTTTTGAAAATGCAGCTTGTCGTGTATCCATTTTCATGTTGGACTGTGTAGAAAATGGTGGAATGCAGACAGTATTTTCAGCTTTTACTATCTAAGAATATCTGCAGCCTGTCTTCATATCCCTGTGCAACATAATTCTTTTAGGATAGCATTTATTAAGCATATACAATTATAGACTTCCTGAGGCAGAAAATACCTGCATAGAAAGATCTCAAAAGCTAGAGGAGCCCCCAAGTTACCAAATGTTTGTATATTGGCAATAAAGCTCCTTATAGAACCAACGCAGAGATTGACGGGTGGAAAAATGACTCAATGAACATCAGTGTTAGCCACTTTGAAATGTATAGTACAGAGAGAATTATCAATAAGCTCATGGTCTTCATGAGAAAGCAACTGTTTGCAAGTCTCAAGCAAGAAATGACATAAACTAAAATGCAAGCTGATAGATGCAGTTTTGAGTGAGCCTCAAGGAGCTTGTATTGACAACAAACCTTTGATTAGAATTGTCTAAGGGTGGTTAAAGGTCAAAATTATTCAAATGTTGAGTGCAGTGGGTAGGTAAATCCTGAGCCAACAGGTATGTGAGGCAGCAGAAAGCCAAATGCTTCATCTCTTCATCAATTACAGCTGTGTTTTTATAAAAGTTGTATATATCCCCCTGTCCTGGGTTCAGCAGTAGCAGTCATTTTTCTTCTCCTTGGTAGCTGGTGCAGTGCAGTGTTTTGACTTTCGGCTTGGGAACAGAGCTGATAACAATGATGTTTTGGTTTGGCCAAGGACTCTGTGAGTCTCATGCTCTGCCAGGGAGGAGGGGAAGCTGGAAGGAAGCAGAGACAGGACACCTGACCCAAGCTAGCCTAAGATGAATTTTATACCACAGCACGTCATGCCCAGGAGGTAACTGGGAGTCAGAAGGGCTGGGACTGCAGGGTTGGAGGAGGTATGGATTGGTGCTTGGTCAGGCTGGGGGGGCGAGTTATCGGTCGGCTGGTGGTGAGGTGATGTATTCTCTTCCCTTGTTATTTCCTTTATCATTGTTATTACTGGTGGTAGCAGCAGTGATTTGTGTTATACCTTAGTTACTAAACTGTTCGTATCTCAACCCGTGGGAGTTGCATTCTTTTTGATTCTCCTCTCCGTCCCTCCGGGAGTTGGGGGAGGGCAAGAAGGGGCGAGCTGGGGGAGTGAGTGAACAAGCTGGCTGGCTGGGTTTAAACCATGACACCCGCTAACTGCTAATAGCTGGTTTTGAACATTTGACATGCAACATCTTCAGTTTATCGACATTAACATAAACATACTTGAGAAGGACCTAAAAATATCTTTGAACAAGAATTGTTGTGTAAGTAAATATCAGTACATGATGTAGTTAATCTCTGAGCAGTTAACGATTCATAAGAAAAAGTGACAAATTGCTAAATGAAACAAATGACTGAAAGAAGAGACTATGAAAAGGGCATAAATGTTCTGTTTAATCTGCCACTGAACTACTTTATGATCTTAAGCAAATCTTTTAATTTGTGTATGTATTCTCACCATTTTTAGCCTTACTAATTAGGAGTACAGAGGATTCCTCTGCCATGTGGCTTGCACAGGATGTTGTGCTATTGTCTGATCATAACCAAGGGTAAGAATGCAAAAATTACACTGGATTCTAGAAGAATCAATCTCTGACCCCTTCCATCAAATTGTTCCAATTCTCAGCCTTTAATTAAATTCATAATGTCATCACTCCCTAATTTTTATTTATTTGAGACATGAAGAATGTCATTGGTCTTGGAAGGTTTTCCTTTTGCATTTTAGAATGCTAACGTCTCTGGAATCTATTTAGTCACGTACACTTCTTCTACAGTACAACCAACAACTGAAAAATATGAGGGAGCATGGAGCGTGTGTTAATGAGTTGTATAGTATTGATTTCACCAGCAACACGTTAATGCTGTTTCTCTTGAAAAATGAACAATAGATCTGGGCTCAGAAACTCTTAATGAATGTTGTGTATCGTAATAGACAGTCCATATTCAGTAATGTACTTTATTAGTCTATACAGAAACTACATGCTTTTATATGGACTATATATATATATACACACTCTTTTACCATAGTGAACATGAGTGAAGGATCCATGCTCATTTTTCTTCAATCTGTCAGCACTTCTGGAAAGCATCCAACACAAAAATGTTGTTTTCTTATGAACAAGGCCTTCCCAATGTGGATTGACTTGCCCTCCAGTGAGGCTTCCTGGCTTCTGCTTCTCAATGGGTTGTCTCTGAAGACAGTTGCCATGTGATACAGGAGTCTGGGTCACCATTCTTCCACCTCACCTCCAGATACTATTCAGTGGACTTAACAATTTGAGTTCAGTATGTGTTAGTACTGTTAGTTGAGGGTACTGAAACCTTTTCATTACGCAATCCCAATCAACTGTTCAGCTCTGTGGCTTGTTGCATTATTGTGGTCTGTAGTCCCACTCTTCTCTAAGTGCTTACCAAAAATAATTCAGGGTAAAAGCTCATGTGCTTCTGCCTGGATGTGAGGAACCTGATACTTGAGGACCACTCAGGAGACTGGAAGGAGGTCATATTTCTTATCTCCTCAGCCTGCTGGTTCAGATTTCATTTTCCTGTACAATTTGTTAGTTCTCCTAGATTTGTAGTTCCTGTGTGTATCTTAAAGTATGCTTGGCATGAAGACCATTATTTCTCTCACAGAAATTTGTGATGTTTATTCAGATCTGTACCTTAGCCTGACAAAACATGTTCAACTTAGGACTCTTTTGAAATCCATTGGAAACAGCAGCTGGGCAGAAACCTGGTTTGTGCAGAGGACAACTGGGAGCACACTGTTGTGCTGAATTATTTGTAATCATTTTATTGTTGCAATAGTATTGTAAATCTTCTGCAGCACACAAAAAATAAAGATGAGGAAAAGAGAAGAAAGAAAGGGAATTTGGAAATTCAGAAGCCAAATGCAAATCTTTTTACTGACTTTCATATAATCATTCTATAGACTTTCATATAGCCTGCCCTTCTCTTTGTATGTATAATTATGTTCACTCAAGCCATCTAAGGAGTTTCTACTGGTTTGGGGGGTTAAACTCCCTAGGATTAGGAGAGCTTTCTGAGTCAAGGGCCCCCACTTCTGGAATTATTTTTCCTTGGTTCTCTGCCAGTGTCCAGCTCCAGTAAGCTTCACAGCACATGGTGAAATGTTCGTATTTGGGTTAGCTTTAGTCTATTTTTAGATAGTTTAGGTTTGCTTTGAATTTTACTTTACATATCTGGAGATGGTAGATTGGGAATTGTTTTCTAACAGGATTATTTAGTGTTACCCATCACGGGAAGGTTTCTAAGTCATTTATCAGTAATTTTCTAAGTAAATGTGCACTGCAGTGAATGAACATGAATATGAACAGTATTTTTATTTGCACTTTTATCTTGCCATTTTCCAAACTAAAATACTGGAAGTTCTTTGACTCAAACTGGAAAAGCTCTTGAGCACAGAATTTTGTTCCTTGTGTGTTTTGCTGTGTGTATAGGGAGGTGGTGACTGCACAGGGGGACTGACAGAGGGGTGGCTTGTTGTCTATGTGGGTTCATTGCTTTTCTGCAGCAAAGTCCATCTTTGTACGTGTTCCACAGCACTTGGAATGCAAACAGATCACTCCAAAAGTGACTACCTGCAATCAGGGCTGTTTTTTACTAGTGAAGCTAGAACTATATATGTATCCAGGATGTTCATATCGTTCCACCCCCAAAAGTAGACTACATTTAAATGATTGTAAATAAATGATTGTGAGTAGTCTAAAGTATCTGTATCTGATTATAACCTTTAATAGTCAGGGCTTGATTGTCTTTTTATTTCTCTCAATTTTGAACATGGATGCTGGTAGTTTCAGTAGAAATGCTTCTTATTAGTACCAAACTGAGAAGACAGCAGGGCCCGCAAGTATGTGACATGTTTTGAGAATATTAATAAAGGATCTTTTGAGAGGCGTATTTTAAAAATTGGTGTGTGACAAAAACCTTTTTTTCTATTGTGAGATTAGCCCTTTCCCTTTGCCCAAATACATTGTTGCAGTAAGATCTGTTCAGGTTCCTGCAATAACAATCTTGCTGGGGAATAACAGAACCCAAGGTGAGGAATAAAAGGGCACCATGTAATACCCGATAGTCACCAGCTTCCTGAAATACCCCCCCCGAGACAGGTTCTTTCCTGGCATAGCATAGACAAGCTCCTCAGGATGTGGCCCAGTATTCCTGTGGAGCAGGTAGCTGCTATCAGAGAGGTCAGCATTTATAGTAGGTAGATCAGGTATATATATCTTGACACTGCAGGCTCTAGGTAGATGTTTCCAGTTAACTTTCAAAGCAGCTGCTCCTCAGGACAATGTGGTGTTATATTTAGAAGTGCAGACTGGTCACCTGATGGTGTCCTGATTTGAGAGCGATCAGGTCTACGCTCACCATTCATCTTTTCAAAAGGAAAAGGGGAACAGCTGAAGATTTGGCTTGGCTCTGATGCCACTGAGGAAATTCTTGTTTTGTTGTAGAATACTCTTAATGAGATTGCATTTTTCCCTACCATGTCCAACTTCAGTCTGACAAAGAAGCTAATGCAAGGAAGAAAACAATCGTGTGCCACGACTGATGTAGCAGCTTACACACGATTTCTTTTTTCCCTTTTCTCTCTTCCATTTGTGTTGATAAAATCGCAGAGCCGGCGGCTGGTACTGATGTAGATTTTCAGCCTGGATTTGCTTTTGTTTTTCTCCTTACTCCAGTTCTCCTTGTGCAGTGCTGCGTGGCGCTGGCAGCCTGAGAGAGAGGGAGCTCCAGTCACACACATGCCCTCAGCCCGCGGAGAGGAGATTAACATCGCGGAGCCCACGTTTGCAATAGCGGGTGGTGCTGGGGGGAGGCGAGGGGAAAATAAAATAAAAGCAGCAGTCGGGTAAATGCTCGTCTCTTCTCGCCACCAGCACCTTGCACAGGTCTGAAACCGCTTGTTTTGCTTTGCTGTATTGCGCTTGCCTGGGATGTGGAGAGGGGAGGGGGAGGGGAGGAAGGGGGAGGTTTAACTTTTACTTGACATTACCGGGTTATTGTCACTTCCCCCGTGTAAAAACCCGGGGGTTCCCCAGCGCCCCCACCCCTGCCCGGGCTCGGCTCCCTTCGGTGAACTTTGTTCACAGACACCACGGCTCGTCCGGGCCTGGGACAGGGATAGCGCAAAGTAAATAACCGCCACGGTTAGACCGGGGCCGGGAGTTGATCTTCGGTGGCAGAGATCTGCTTACTTAGCGTTTGCCGTTGCGGGGCGATTGAAGGCCGCCGTGCCAAGGGCACGCGCGCACACGCACACACACGCGCGCACACGCACACACACAGACACACGCAGGCACACTCTTACACACGCACGCTGGATACAAAAGTCTGGAGGATCTAGGGTAGAATTGCAGCCGCCGGATCGGTGCAGCGGCAGCGGCCAGAGCCATGCGTGTCACGGCCTCCTGAGGGGGAAAGGGAAGGAAGGAAAGAAGGAAGGAAGGACGGGAAAAAAAAAAAAAAAAAGGAAAGAAGGACGGAAAAAAAGAAAAGAGGGAGAAAGGAAAGCACAAGAAGGACGCGGGGTGGTGGAAAGTGTTCGCCTGCTTTTGTCTCGCAATACAGTGAACTGGAAGATGGAGATGGATGTTAAGGGAGTTTCTCCGTGCCAGGAGCCCATCCCCCCGGCGGCGGGGTCTGGCGGCTGCCCGCACCAGCGCCCGCACCACCGCGATGGGCAGCCCGCGGAGCCGGCCCCCGCCACCGACAGCGGCCACCCGGAGCGGAGGCACGGCAGCGAGAAAGAGGACAAAAAGGTAGGTCCGCTCCGCCGCCGGCCGGCCGGCGCCGCGCCCGCCGGAGGGGCCGGCTGCCCGGGGCCGCGCTCGGCGGGGCGGAGGGTATGGAGGGGGCGGCGGGCCCGCTGCCGACCGGCCGCGGCCACGCCGCCGCGGGCAGCCCCGCGCCGCCCTTTGTCAGCGCGGCGGCGGGAGGCGGGGGGGCGGCGGCGGAGGTTGTCTGAGGACACGGGGTAGGGGGGGAAGAGCGGGGCTGCCGCCGCGGGGCCCGGGGCTCGGGGCATTTTTCCGTCCGCCCTGCGAGAGCGGCGCCGCGGGCGGCGGCCCAGGTGCGGTCGCGAAAGTTTACCTCACTTCGAGGGGCCGGCGCCGGCAGGGCCGCGGGTCCCCTCCCCTGAGCTCGGCTTTCGCCCAGCGGCCGGTCTCCCCAGGAGGCAGCCCGGGCGCCGTGTCCCTCCAGCCCTGCTGTGTCATTGTGGACCGGGAACGGCTGGTCGCCGCCGAGTGGAAGGAAACCTGTGGGTGAGGGAGTTCAGCGAGAAATGGGTCAGATCGCATCCCTTTGGTGCGGATGTGTCTGCTGCTGGGAGTATCGGAAAGTGGGAAGGATGGCATAGAAAAAGGTTGCCATTAAGATAATGTCAGGGCAGAGCATCGAGCAGTGCTTTTGTCTGTGGGCACTGTCTTTATTTCCATTCGTTTTTCTCGGCATGGGTTTACCGAACCGAAGCCGAGGAATTCTGCTGTGTCTGTAGGTCCGTAATAGACAGAGACTGGTAAATGTAAGTTTCATCGTAATTGTTGCAAGGAGGGAGCAGTGTGTGCCAGCCTGTGAACCCAGTCCGTTTATCCGAGTAATTCTCCGAATGGACAGATACCCCAAACCTAGCATAGATGAAAAAAAGAAATGTTGTCATGTACTGTTTTTGAGCTGTGTTTCTTCAACTAGTTTTACTATAGTTTGGTTTTGCTACAAATGTGTAAGAGAACAGCAACACAATGAAGGAATGCAAGCTAGCAACGGAATAATTTAACCCAAGAAGTATGTCACACCACATACTTGCATGACCACAGTTGCAATTATCATGAGAAATACAAGGTATTTTGAAAATGATGGCTCTCTCTAACTGGAGAGCCTATGTTTGTAGTATTTACCTCCCACGCTTTCAGGTTTGTTACTGTTTGGTAAAATCTGTGCTATTGTTTAAATTAAAATCAAGCATCAATGACTGATCATTTGAACAGGGCCTGTGCAGTTTAATAAGGTGGATGCAAGGGCTTTAGTTTTGAACCGATAACTGTTGATTTACATATTGTGACAGATGAACAGAGAATTTCATCTTCCTTGAGTTTATGAATATTTCATTCTGTCGTGACTGCATGTGACTTTACAGCTCTAAATGATTCCTGTGTGTGATTGTTTCTAGGATCCCTTTTCGTGCTTCATGTTATTGCAAATGCTTTTATTTCAAAATAACACAAAAGTAGAGTCAAGGTGGCCTTTTACACATGAGCTGCTTGTGCTAGTAGTGCCTTGAGCATTTCCAAACCCTGCCTTCAGCAGAAATCCATGCTCAATAGTTACTTTCTGATGTGCCACACAGTCTGTCTAATGCTTTACCAATCATGGACATGAGGAAGGCAAACAAGGTACAGCTGAAGGTGAATGAACACTAGAGAAGGCCTGATTCTCTGTGGTGTGGCTGATTAACTTGTTTTGATAATTCAGTATTGCACTGGTTTATTCTTTATCTGCCAGCATTTTCTGGACATAGAAACAAAAGTACTACCTTCTTTTTTGTCCTAGTTGTAGCCATGCTAAAGTACTGTGATATATTCCTTTATTTTCAAATCCACTATCAGCTTCTCCAGGCTTGCCATTGCCAAGGTGGTTGCAATGACTAGCCTGTATTTTTGGGAAGTGCTGTAATATTTCAAACCTCCCTAAATGTATGCATCTTTTCTGGATGCTGTCCCAGGATGACCAGTACTTCTTATTAGTGCAGAAGTATTTCAGATATCTGGTAAGATAGTGGCACCAGAAATGTGATGAGAAGGGGAAAACCCATTAAAACCATAGCAATCGCACTCCTGTGAAAAAAAACCCAACATTCCAACCAGAAAACAAAACTCAAGTATTGCTGGAAGCGTCGTCTAAGAACTTTCTAAAGGGATTGAAATAACAGTACCACTGTTTATTTGACCCTTACACAAATGTCAGAGGTGCACTGATGCATCCTAGAAGTGTAAGCGCTCTACATAGAAATTGTGAAGGACATTATAGAACCTGATTTCCTGACAAGTGCATACTTATGAGTAACTAAAGGTTAAGATTTTACCTCTCACGATTCCACTGTCAGGACTTACTTTTTGGGATCACGCTTCAATTACAAGAAGTCTTATATTGTATCATTGAGCTCCATTTCCTGTGGAGGTAAAAAGTTTTGCTTCCATCTAAATGGAGTGAAGTCAAACTTATGCTCTAATAAAGCTATTTCTTTTTTTCTTGTCACTGCCTCCAAAAGGAACTTTGCTGAATTAACCAAATAAAGTATTTCCCAAATTCTGTGGAATTTCAGTAGAAGGTACTGGTACTGCCATAGTGTCAATTATGTGGATATTGGAGGGTATTTTTCTGCTGTATGTTCATTTTTTATTTGCCTTTTAACATCAATAAAATCATGAAATGTGTGCAGAATTTGAAATATATCCCAGTACCTTCAGCTGGGCTGCTGACATGCTGGAATCTATGCTTAAGTGCTTTGTTGGAGGAAGACCTAGGTTACCTCCCATATATCTTTCTGTGTTGAAACCATCTCTGAGCAATGTATGAGAAGAGAAATTATGAAGATTGACTTTATAATTTATTAAGGATATAGCACTTGGTGCTTTAAAGTATAGCTTCCATTTAGGTGGGTGAAAATTAAGCAGAAATAGCAGAATGTAATATTGAGAAAACAGTTGATACTGGTTTTTCCTCTTAAAGCAAAACACATCAGAAAATGTTTTTCAACACTCCTATAATGTTTGATGTTATTTTAGTTGAAAGCATGTAGGTCTGACCTTATATACAGCAGCCTGTTGACGTTCTTGAGTATGGCAAAGTGGGTGACTGGGGGACAGAACAACATGCAGCCCTTGGCATCACAATTTTTTGCCAGTTGGAGGTGCAGCGGATTCCAGTGACATGTTGTGCAGGTGGGTTATCACACCATTTTGCCACTCCATGACTTTGTGTAAAGGGACACACACCCACAGATTTTATGAGGATTCTTTCCAGTTTCTATTGGAATGTTAGCATCTTTGCAAGGATCGGTGTAGGGAGCACTTTGAGAGCTGAAGGCAGCTCTGCAATTCCTTTGCAGGCTGGGGACTGTGGGTGACATTTTCCCAGGGGTGGTAACAGGCCCTTGGCTACAGCCAGTGTGTTATGGTGTTTCCATCTCTGAAGTACTGTGAAGCCCCCAAGTCCTCCAAAACTTGGTCCTCAGTGTGCATTTGGTAACATAGCATTGCTACCCAAATATTTTGTTTTCTTTCTTTATTTTGTTTTCTGCTGAGGAAAGCCTCTGTATACCTGGGGTTCGCACAAATGATTTAGCACAAATGATTTACAAGCACACCCAGAGCTTTCACTTCAGGCCTACATTCCAGATACAACCCCCTGTGAAATAGTTCCAAGGTGAAGAACTTTCTGTGTATTTACATGGAAATGAGCACACCAGGTTACAGCAAAAGCAAGCCTATCTATCTGGGCTGGGTACATTGTATTCTGGTTCAAAATCCACTTGCAAGTGTTTGATGTACGAGTTCTGAAGTACTTTGTGGGTTTATTTGTGTGTTATTTCCCACAATGCTCACTTGTGATATTGCTATCTGAGAGTGGTAATCAGGTGTGAGCTTCTAGGTGGGAAAAGCTGAATGCTTTGGGGAAAGACAGTTGGTATAACAGGGCAATTCTGTTCTGCTGTACATGTGATCTGATCTAATTGGTTGTCTCTCAAAGCCGACTGCTAGTGTATTTACAGGACTACTGCTATCAAGGGTGTGGTGGTGGTTCACTTGTCCTCCACAAGCAGTATGTCAGGAAGAGTGGAAGACTCCTCAGGGGCAATTGTCTTTAATACTTTCTCTTTTGTAATTAGTTTTGTTTGTTTGGAAAGCCCTGTGTTACTGTGTGTTTACATTGAGAGGAGGCTTAAGAAATGCAGTTTATGCTTGAAGCAGATGGTGCGAAGCGTCTTTTTGGGGGTGGATCTTACGTGGAACCATAGGGTGTTCCATTGTGTACAGGAGAGTAGTTGTCAATCAGTGTCTTCTTCCTGGAGGTTTAGGTGTGTTTTCAGATAACCTGGATCCAGCCCATTGAGCAACTTGAAATTAAGAACCAAAAGCTTAAACCAAGATCAGGAATGGGTGTAAGGAACCAGTCTGGGGTGTGTGGGACAAATAAAGCAGATACAGCCAATGCTACCAGTTGCTGATGGTAGTAACTTGTGCTGATAATCATATAATATGCAACATCTTGTATTACCTGGAGTTTCCAAGTACTGAAGGCTTTGTGCCAGGTGTACTGTGGGCTATGGTCCTGCCAAGATGTAATGCAGGCATGAATAGTCAAGGTCAGGCCATTGTCTGCCTGGATGGACAAACCTGTAGCCACCCAGAGGTGGGAGAAAATTTTACTTGTGGCTGTTGCTATTCTGAGAGTTTGATGTCAGACAGAAATTCTAGTATCTCTTCAAAGTACGTAAAGAATTGGAGGATAATGGGTATTTATCTTGCTGCTAAGAATGTTTCAGGAATCATTCCTCAGCCCAGCAACTCTGTCTTTTTCAGGCCCACCTATTGTTCATTCTTAAGCTGCTCCTTTACTGTGTGGTGGGCTGTCATGATATTGGTATTGATATGCATAGTTCAGTGTCTTCCTGATGAAATGGCCTGAAAAAAAAAAGCTTATTCTGTGCAAGGAACCTGTTCTTCCTGAATTCCCAGGCCTGGTGGCTGGCTGGGTGCTGAGTCTGTCCCAAAGCCACAGACCCAGGACATGCTGGATCCCTCATATTCAGATATTTCTCCTGCAGACTCTCAGGTTGCAGCTCCAGGGCAAGCATTAATTTATGACAGTGTGGAGAGTCTCCCCTACACATCTACCTGGAATGGCTGCCCAGGGACACAGTGGCAGGTGCCTCTAGAAGGAAGGTTTTGGTCCTTCGGATTGCTGCTGTGGGCAGCAGAGCTATTAACCATGCCATTAACCCATTGCAAGGAGCAAGGCCCAAGGGCCATCTGCTTTGAGGAGAATAAATAAAAAGCTCAGATTAAAAAAAAAATCAAAAAGAGGAATTTCACTGTGAACTGAAAGCCTTGCTTTGCAGGCAGGTCTGCTTCTGCATTTCCATGCATTTAATGTACTCTGCCTCTCACACTTCTCTTGCCTTCTTATGAGAGAATCCTTAGATGAACCCAGGGTTGTGCCTTCATTACAAAAACAAGCAGATGAGAAGAATAGAAAGAAAAAAACTGTTAGTACCTCAACTGAAGGCA